ACAGAAGGACTTAAATTTGAGACAGGGACGTTGGATGGAGTTAATCAAAGATTATGACTGTTATATTCACCATCATCTTGGAAAAGCCAATGTAGTAGCAGATGCTTTGAGTAGGAAGTTTTTAGGGAGACTATCTTGTGTACAGTGTGCACGGGTAGCAAATATTATGGAGTTGAGATTGATGGGAGTTGAATTAATAGTGACAAATGAAGGAGCATTCTTTGCACATGTTATGGTGAGACCTTTGTTGCTGGATCGAATTAAAGAGTTACAAATTCATGATGTATTCCTGGATAAGAAAAGAAGAGAAGCTCAAAAAGGTACGCAAACTGAATTTACAGTTAAGGACGATGGGACTTTGTATTTTAGAAGTCGAATTTGTGTTCCAAATGATGTTTCTTTGAAGAAAGATATTTTAGATGAAGCCCACAGTTCTATATATGCTATGCATCCGGGTAGTACTAAAATGTACATGGGCTTGAAGGAATACTATTGGTGGAACAATATGAAGCGTGAAATTGCAGAATTTGTAGCAAAGTGTTTGGTATGTCAACGAGTGAAAGCTGAACATCAGAAACAAGCGGGGTTGTTGTAACCGTTGCCAATTCCTCAGTGGAAGTGGGAGCATGTGACAATGGATTTTGTGACGGGACTTCCAAGATAAAAAAGGGGACATGACTCCATCTGAGTTATAGTTGATAGATTGACGAAATCAGCTTATTTTCTAGCAGTGAAAACTACTTATTCTACAAAGGAATATGCTCGTTTGTATGTTAATGAGATCATATGTTTGCATGGGGCTCCAGTTTTTATTGTTTGTGATAGGGATCCGAAGTTCACTTCGAGATTTTGGTGTAGTTTACATGAAGCCATGAAAACTTCTTTGAAGTTCAGTACAGCTTTTCACCCGCAGACAGATGGGCAGTCAGAACGAATTATTCAAATTTTAGAAGATATGTTGAGAGCTTGTGTGCTGGATTTCAAAGGTAATTGGGATGATTATTTACCGTTAATTGAATTTGCTTATAACAATAGTTATCAGTCTACTATTGGAATAGCACTGTATGAAGTTTTGTATGGGAGAAAATGTAGAACTCCATTGTGTTAGGGTGAGGTGGGTGAAAGAAAGTTATTGGGTTTAGAATTGATTGAACTTACGACAGAAAAAGTGAAGGTAATTTAGCAGCGTATGAAAGTAGCACAGGAGAGACAGAAAAGTTATGTAGATGTGCGAAAAAGTGGGAATGGGGAAAAGAACAATGTAACGTCTTTTGTTTAAGAAGTAAATGTTGTAGTAGAATTTAATAGTGTAACTTGCTGTTAATGTTCTAGTTGTCAGAATTTGCATAATAGGCTTATATTTTGTAGTAAACTATTAAGCAGGAACTCTGATGTAGGATGATGTTATGGTTGAATGAGGTTAATGTAGATGGTTAGATGCATTCCAATTTGTTCAATTTATTAAATAGTGTAAATTGGGTTGGAGTGTGTCAACTTTTGGTATCAGAGCCTAGGTTTTCTAGGTTCTGGAGGTAGTAAGAGTCTAGACTGGCAGTGGCAGTAGGAAATGTATAGTAAAGTCATTTCTTTGACTTGATTTTATACTAACAAATATATGTAGTGATGATGTATCATATATATATGTTGTTATATTTGAGATTCATTGCAGATAAAAAGTAATGGAAAGAGGGATTTGGAATTTGAAGTCGGTGATTTCGTTTTTCTTCGTATTTCTCCTTGGAAAGGTATTATGAGGTTTGAAAAGAAGGGTAAAGTAAGCCCCAGGTACATTGGACCGTACAAAATTCTGGAACGGATAGGAGCAGTAGCGTATCGGTTGGAGTTACCCGAAGAATTATCAAGATTACATGACGTTTTCCATGTGTCTATGCTTCGGAAGTATATATCGGATCCATCTCATATTTTAATTGCAGAATCGATAGAGTTGAAGGAGGATTTAACTTATGTAGAAGAACCGGTACAGATTTTGGATCGCCGAGAGCAAGTGCTTCTAAATAAGACTATATCACTGATAAAAGTATTGTGGAAGAGTCACACGGTTGAAGAAGCGACTTGGGAAAGCGAGGAAACTATGAGAATGCAATATCCTCACTTATTTGGTATGTTTCATGCATTTTAATTTCGAGGATGAAATTAATTAAAAAGGGGAAGAATTGTAAGACCCCGATACAAAATTAATTGCATTAGCTTAATTTTATATTAATTCTGACATGATTTATATATGAATATATAAATGGAGTGGGTTGTTTTGTGAACTTGGTGTATTCTGTAACAATAAAATGGAAAGAGGAAATAAAACTATGTAGTATAGTAAGAAGCACTTGTGAGTGGATGAGGTTAATTAAAGTTCTGATGTGAGTAAACAATATTGACTCACACATAAAATATGTAGTCATAAATTATATATGAATATATAATTCTAGATAAACTATCAGTACCTATATGGATATATATCATATGTATATTATATATTAGTTAGTAAAGCTTCCTGTAGAAGGCTTGATTTTTTCAACCTAACTATATATATTTTACATATGTGCACACCAAAAGGTGACAAGTGTACTTGTGGGCCATGTGGGTGAGAATAATTTGGTGTGATGGTTCACGAAATGCTATCAAGTATATGTGGAAATCTTGTAATGATATTTATATAGTAATTTGGTGGTGATTCATTAAGGAGATGCTGCCAGCACCACACACGCATGCAATACACCTGTACATGGTAAGCCCAACCTTGTACACCTGAAAATCTAAAATCTAGACCTGGCAGTAGCGACCCAACCTTGTACCTGAAAATATAGATATGGAAGGAGTGAGCTTTAAGCTCAGTGAACGCAACATTATTACATCAGAGTAATATAAACAAATATTATCTAATAATTTCAATTTAACTCCATAGCATAAAACTTTCAGCTTTACAGGCATTTAAAATATAGTACTCTTCTTCTAGGCCAGAATATGGACCGTATTTAACTATAGTTCTCTCTTTCTTGGCCAGAGTATGGACCTTATTTAATGCAGTACTCTCCTTCCAGGCCAGAGTATGGACCTTATATAATATATTACTCTCTTTCCAGACCAGAATATGGACCTTATATCACACAATCAAATTATATATATATATATGCATCTTCATATCACATAAACAATTTCAATACTTCAATTTAACATTTCAAGTGTAAAACTTCCAGTGAGTACACCCACCTTGGTTACTTCCCAAATTATTTATTTTTCCCCTGGAAATGTCGAAGTTGTCAAGTCCTTCTCATTGCCTATACAACACTATAACCATGTCATATATATTTCTGGAAAGAATTAAATAATAAATCTCAATTTTCATCTAAAACCATAATCACAACCATTTATGTGAAATTTCAACTCCACCATTCCAATTAACAACTATTTTCACTCAAATTATTCGAGTGAGATAACAAAATACAAATAACAACAATATATACACAATCAATCAACCCACTTATCCATATATAAAAAGAAATAAAAACATCTAATAAGGATAAAAAAAAATAAAAATAAAATTCACCTCCAGTACCTCGGTACCAAAAATCACATACCCATTTTTCTTTCCTATTCTTCTACTTCTCTCTCCTTCAATCTCCTTTCTCATTCGATTTCTATAATCTCAGATTACTAACCACACATATATATATATCAATTTCACCTTAACAATTTCAACTACTTCATAGTTCCTTTCATTTTAGAGAACTTCATACACATTGACAATTTCAACTACTTCATAATTCCTTCCATTTTAAACAATTGAAATACTTGAATTTATCTAATGAAATAAATAGAAATCCACAGGATTAATACAAAACTCGTGAATCAAATAATTCATGGTAAGTTTAAACCTCAATATAGAAATTTAGAAAAACAACAAAAAATATAAAAATATAAAATCCTTACCTGTAGAGTATTTCTTTTCATTTTCTAAACTTTCCTATACTTCTTTTTCTTCTCCAGCCAAAAATAAAAACCCTTTCTCTCTTTCTATTTTATTTATTTTCTTTTTCCTTTTCAATTGCAGTGTATAAAATATTTAAAACTTTTCAACTTACCATGTACATGTGTATTGCATGCGTGTGTGGTGCTGGCAGCATCTCCTTAATGAATCACCACTAAATTACTATATAAATATCACTACAAGATTTCCACATACACATGATAGCATTTCTTCAACCATCACACCAAATTATTCTCACCCACATGGCCCACAAGTACACTTGTGACCTTTTGGTGTGCACATATGTAAAATATATATAGTTAGGTTGAAAAAATCAAGCCTTCTACAGGAAGCTTTACTAACTAATAAAGAATATACATATGATACATATCCATATGGTACTGATAGTTTATCTAGAATTATATATTCATATATAATTTATGACTATATATTTTATGTGTGAGTCAATATTGTTTACCCACATCAGAACTTTAATTAACCTCATCCACATCCACTCACAAGTGCTTCTTACTTTCCTCTTTCATTGTTACGAAACACACCAAGTTCACAAAAGAACCCACTTCATTTATATATTCATATATAAATCATGTCAAAATTAATATAAAATTAAGCTAATGCAATTAATTTTGTATCGGGTCTTACACACACTCATATATATATAACATAATGGTTCGGTTTGCTCTAATTCTGAATTAAAAGACCTCAAGCCGTAATCAAATCGTATTTTTTACGATTTCATAAATTTAAAACTGTGACCAAATCAAACTATAAGCAAATAAAATCAAACTATTAGCAAATAAAATCAAACTGCCTGGTCCAGTTTAGTCCAATTTGAATATTTGGTTTGAGCGGATTTTTGTGCACTCCCACATTAAACACAAATTTATTAACACAATCTGTTAAAACGATGTTTAGGCCCATATATTTGTGGGCTTCAAAGATGGTCCGATCTTTTCCTCTTTTTGGCAAAGGTGGGCTGCTATATATACCCAGAGAATTCTAATGCAAATACGACACGGACCACCGAGAACAAAACAAGTCGGCGAAGACCGTTATCGGTACACAGTCAGCAAAGCCACGCACGGCCATAGCTTCTCTCTCAGTTGGGACTCGCCGGAACCCTAATTTGTCGAATCAGAGTTCGAAATGGGGAAGAAACAGCACAGCAAGGATCGTATGTTCATCACGAAGACGGAGTGGGCCACCGAGTGGGGCGGCGCCAAATCCAAAGAACTCCGCACCCCCTTCAAACGCCTCCCCTTCTACTGCTGCGCGTACGCCTTCCTCTCTCTCTTTCTATATGTATTTTTATATGTATTTTTTTCTGATATTGAAACGATCTCTATGTGTGTGAATTGTTTTGCAGTCTTACGTTTACACCATTTGAAGACCCAGCGTGTACAGAAGATGGTAGCGTCTTTGAAATAATGTCAGTATCTCTAATTCATTACAAACACATGCATTCTTCCACACACATACATATAAGTTTTTATTTATATTTTATTTAATTAGAGATATTGATGGTGAATTGCATATTGTTGGTTCTGAAATTTGGGTATAGGCACATAGTCCCGTACATCAGGAAGTTTGGGAAGCATCCTGTTACCGGAGCTCCACTGAAGCAGGAGGATCTCATCCCACTTATTTTTCATAAGAATTCCGAAAGTAAGTTTTTCTTTTGTCGAATTTCATTTTCTTACTTATATACTGGGATTGTGATTTGTGAATTGAAAGCTTAGAGCCTGTTTGATTCACTTGTATGAAAGTAAAAACCTCAATTTTCAGAACTTTGTCAACTTAACAAATTTCGAAACTGGTTTTAGTTGTTATGTTCTACGACAACAATATAAAGGCCTAAATAGGTCCTTAGTGTCTCCCATATGCTATCCACATGGAATGAAGGCTTAAAAGTATAAATAACCGTGGTATATGAATGTTTAGGGTTTTAAGATATTGAGTAGAGACTGTAGGGTTGTAGTATATTTATAAAACCAGGGCAATGAAACTTGGGTTGTAATTATAGATGAAACCGCATCATAGACTGGTGGTTAAGATTTTCTACTCTTATATGCGTAGCAGACGAGAACATAGAACTGGAATGAAGAACTACTGTAATAGGTTTTTCTCTTGGAATGGATTGGCTTTTGTAAGGAATATGGCTGGAAGACGCGCCTTAGTTACGTTTATAGAAGTGAAACTTGAACTAATTTGTACATAAGATGGATCTGATATGGCATACATCTAGTGATCTAGTTTAATGCAGTAATTCTTGTATGCATGGAAAGTATGCTTGTAGTGGGTTCAAGATGTGAATGTATCTGTTATGAAATGTAAAATTTAGTGTTGGTGGAGAAATTGCCAGATACAGATTTGCTACAAGTTGAAGCTGCAAGCATTTGTTGTATGAGGGAGTTTTACAGATTTCATGAAAATGCTATATATTATGAGTCTTGCAACTGTTTTATGCAGAAAAAAATTGTAATATTTTCTACTCTTATTCTTGTGTTGCATTTGTTTTATTTAGTATTGGTGTTGTAACTGTTCTGGATCATCAAATTATATTAACAAGCAGTGTGATTTGACTAGAAGTCAAGTATATAGAGGCTCGATTGAAGAGAATGGTTTAACTCTTTACATGATTGCCTAGGGTTTCTCTGGTGCATTTTGTGATTAAGTTACTCCCAACTGCCAAATAACAGTTAAGTAAAATTTTAAAATATTGTCCGACACAATTCCTTTGTAGTTGACTACTTGACTGGGTCATTCTCGTTTAGAGGGTTATCAACTGCAAATTGATTATCTGTTAACACTAGGTTTTGGAGGTCTAGAGCATGGTTACGGATTTTCTGAAATTTGGAGCTCAAGAATTGGTAGGTGCGCGAGGGACTTTAATGCAATCAGCTCTGAAAGAAAAGAAATAAATCTGAAGAAGGAAAAAAAGAGAGCTAATTCAAGCTAGAAAATAGCTTAAACACCCACAACTCAATCCCAAAAGAAGGGAGAGGTAAAAGCTGCAGTAGCAGACAGTATATATTGATAATATGCCAAAAAAACTGCGGACTAAAACTTAGAACCACCCTTTTATAAGACACAAGGGATGCCCTAGCAAAGATTAAATCCTAGCCCTTCAAATAAATGTAATCTAAAGGCTAGTATTTTGTCCAGCAGAATAAAGAGCTAAAAATGACAAAACAGACATTAAATAGTCACATGACTCACTTAAAAGGCACGTGACTTATAAAATAAAACCAAAATGACAATAATACCCTAACTAGAGCTTAAGACAAACATTAAACATAAAATTAAAACAGATTTAGGCCCCATAAACAATGTTGCCACTATTAATGCAATTTCAATATAATCTTCAACTGTTTGAAGAAAATCCTCTTGCATTTGCGCTGCATCAGACTTGGTGTAATCAAAGTGTCACCTAGGCAATTACTTTGCTTACCTTAGATCTTGGGGACCATATCAGTATTGACCTGGATACCTAGTGGCACCACTTTCCATAAAAGAAATAAAATGTATTGCAGAAGGGAGATTTATAATAAAAGAGGAGAACTCCTGAAAAGAACAGGTTTATCCCATTTGTTTTTTTAAAAAATAAAAATTTGAAAAGGAGGGCCCGGGGGCGGAGAGGAGGAAAGATAGAGAGGTACAAGTGTTTATGTCAAGATAAATTTGCTTAAATGGTGTGAAGGATGTTCTAATAGATATCCCAAAATCACTATAAAAAAAAAAAGTTGAAAAGGAGGCCTCCCTGGGGGGAGGGGAGGGATAGAGAGGTACAAGTGTTTGTGTCAAGATAAATTTCCTTAAATGGTGTGAAAAATGTTCTAATAGATATCCCAAAATCACTTTCCAACTGTTAGCTGGACCAAACATTTTTTAGTGGTAATTTGTGTTTGTAATAAATTAAATAAAAAATCTTAAAGTGACATTTTTTTTTTTGATAAGTCTTAAAGTGACATTTTATGATGACTACTCTTGCCTTTTGTTACTTATAGATGTTCACTGACCAGATAAACCACTATCGCTTTTCTAACACCAACCTCTATCTTGTACTTTGTAGCTATGTGTGTGTAATGTATGTTGTTCTGTTTCCATCTTTTAGTTCTCATAATTGAGTTCTTTTGTTTTAGCAAGACATGCTACTCAATTTTTTCTTCTCTCTTTTTGTTTTTGCAGGTGAGTTTCATTGCCCAGTGTTGAACAAAGTTTTTACTGAATTTACACATATAGTTGCAGTTAAGACTACAGGAAATGTTTTCTGCTATGAGGTTTGTTTCTTCCTTGATAGCCTCATCAGTTCAGCAGTTTTTTCCTTGTATGTTCTCGATATACATTTGCTTTTGTTTCATAGGCAATTAAAGAATTAAACCTTAAAACCAAGAACTGGAAGGAGCTTCTTACTGACGAACCATTCACCAGAGGAGACCTTATAACAATTCAGGTAATTAATAGCGCTAAGACACATCTCCCGTCTGGCTATGTATTCATTGTTTATTGTTTATTGTTTATTTTTTGCTTTTGAAGTTAATAAGCAGGATTATAACAAGGTTTTCCTTGTATTATTGTGAATGTGCTTTGCAGAATCCCAATGCACTTGACAGCAAAGTTCTTCTGGATTTTGATCATGTTAAGAATAGTTTGAAGCTTGATGATGAAGGTGAGCTGTAGCCTTTGCCACGCAGCAGGTTCTGCTGCAGAATGCTTTTTGTGTGTGTGTGTGTCAATGATCCTGAACTCTTCAGTTTTCTTTTCCAGAACTAAAAAAGATGAGCTCAGATCCAACCTATAATATAAATGTATCTGGGGATATTAGACAGATGCTGGAAGAACTTGGAACTGAGAAAGGAAAAGAAATTGCATTACATGGAGGAGGTGGAAACAAGGCACAAAATGAAAGGGCTGCTGCACTTACTGCCATATTAGCTGCAAGATCACGTATTAAAGAAGATTCTGATTCAAATACAAATGGAGAGGTTAACACTAAACAGTCTTATAGTATTGTAGATGCTGCATCTGCTTCAGTACATGGAAGAAGTGCTGCAGCTGCCAAGGCTGCAACTAGTGATAAAACTGCTGCTCGGATAGCCATGCATATGGCTGGTGAGAGGACCCCAGTGAATGCAAAGATGGTTAGTTTTTCCTCAAATACAGATCTTTTATCCATGCAAACATAACATGCATATAAAGATATTTTCAGATGTGATTAGCCGAGAAATTCAGTTTTTAATTGAATATCTATCACTTCATCGAAACGAAGCACCACTGTATTTATTTTGGAATGTAACATAATTTCTCTTTCCTATGAGGTATTTTGGGTTGAAACTTGCAAGTCTTTTTAATCAATTCCTGTTTCTGTTCTAACAATTAATTTTTGAAAAATTAAGAATTGAGAATAAGTCTATGATATAAAATATATATAAATTTTCTTATTCTGAATTCTTAATTTTTCAAAAATTAATTGTTAAAACAGAAACAGGAATTGATTAAAAAGACTTGCAAGTTTCAACCCAAAATACCTCTATATATATATATATATATATATATATATATATATATTGTTTTTTTGAGTTATTGTAGTCAAAGGGTTTGGTGGCACGTTGGTTTGGCAAGAAGTCTCTTTAGTCTCAAACTTTCTTATACCCATTTGAATGTCATTGATATATGCCAACATTCAGAAGTAAATAGTTTAATGTAGCTGGAGTCCTGAAATGCCTACCTCCCACGAGGAAGCAACTGACATTACAAAGTAATATTTGGAGGTAAAAAGCAAATTGTATATGGAAATCAAACAGGTCAAGTAAACTTACTTAAACAATTTTGGCTTTGCTACATGGATCCTTATTTTTCCCTTTGCAATTTTGCTTTACCCATGTCTGTGATGTTTTTTGGCCATAAATATGGAATACTATGTCATTCCTCACAGGTTGCACTTGAGATCTTTCAAGCTTTGCCCTTATAGCATTCATCTTAAATTCTATTACTTCTCACTAGAGTATCGAAATGCCTTCAACTTGAACTATATCACACTTTACTGGTGTTTATATGTATCTCTTTGTTGTTGTTGGTTCACATTTAAGTTGAAATTGTTGATCATCAGTGGAAAAGGTTAAAGCATCTAAATCAATATTCATGCATCTTATCCATGCTTGGTCCTTGTTTTTAACTTTTCTCAATTGTCATTTTCCTTTATTTTCTTTATATTTAAGTTGTTGAATTCGTCTATAGAAGAGGAATAAACCTAGTCTTTCGTACAGGATAAGGAGTAAGAGAAATGACATAAAATGAGGGGTTTCTGGATAGGTTGACCATACTGTAAACCAAGAGTTTATACTCTCCTCACCTAATAAGCTAACAAAAGTAAAAAGCTTCTTTTAAAATTACCTTCCAAGCACATTGATCATCTTCTTGGGAATTTACCATAGAGTTACTTACCTTGCTTAGGGGTGTATATGATCTGAATATCTATTTACGATTTTTTTTATTATTTAAGGTTGTACAAGGACTTCAGTATATTATATGTTGTTGATCGATTGATATCTTCAATTAGCAGAATGGAACAATGTGCGATAATATGCTATGATTGGTTCTAACATGACTTGTTATTCTTGTTGAGAATTTTCCAGGTAAAGAGCCGTTATACCACTGGTGCTGCTTCACGGTCCTTCACTTCTACATCTTATGATCCTGTCACGAAAAATGAATTTGAATATATTAAAGTTGAGAAAAACCCAAAGAAGAAAGGCTATGTTCAGCTACATACTACACATGGTGATTTGAACATTGAGCTGCACTGTGATATAACTCCCAGGACATGTGAGAACTTCATCACTCTCTGTGAACGCGGCTATTATAATGGTGTAGCTTTTCATAGAAACATACGGTATTGTGATGAACTTCTCCATTTCTAATGCAAGTTATTCTATTTTTTCCTTGTGTTAGTTACATTTTCAGGTTGCTGAGTTATTATTATCCACTTCATTTTAGGAATTTTATGATCCAAGGTGGCGATCCTACTGGCACTGGGAGAGGAGGCGAGTCAATATGGGGAAAGCCTTTCAAAGATGAAGTAAACTCAAAGTTGCTTCACTCTGGAAGGGGTGTTGTTAGCATGGCAAACAGTGGTCCCCACACAAATGGTTCACAATTTTTCATCATGTACAAGTCTGCAGCTCATTTGAACTTCAAGCATACAGTTTTTGGTGGAGTTGTAGGTGGGTTGACTACCCTTTCAGCAATGGAAAAGGTTCCTGTTGATGACAATGACCGTCCTTCGGTGAGTCTCTATGTTCATTTTCTTCTTTTACACCCCTTGTGTGTTTAGATATAAATAAATTATATGTGCGCTAATAGCCACTTTCTGGATGGCATTTTTCATGGCTGATGGAAAATGCTCTTTTTTTCTTTAGTTTACATTAATCTTTGGAAGAGCAGAATCTGATTTTCTTGTATGAGCTTTACTGTGTTTTTAGCTAGTTGAAATATATAAATGGGACATATTTAGGGCAGAAACACCAAATTTGAAATGAAATTGGAACATTGGCATGGTGCAAAATCACCTCAGTTTAATATTTTTTTAAGCAAGTAAATAAGAGATCACTAATCACTTAACATGAAGTGTACAAGAACCACACAAAATAAAATAAAATAAAAAGTCCTATCTGCGCAAAAAACTCTACAAAAAGCTATACAATCCAAATATATAAGCCAACAAGACAGAATGCTCTAACATGAACACACCGAAGCGCAGATTAAGTTCAGTTTATTGTACTCATCACTAACCCAAGCCGAACCCACAAATGAATTGAACCAAGCTAGAATTATTTTTAGCTCAGCTCGGCTCACACGGAACTCTTTGTCTTCTTGAAATGAACCATATGGTGTGGTCTTCATACCCCATATCATGCTGAACACGTCTAACATAGCTAATAAAGTAAAAACAGCGGTCACCTCCTGGAAAGCATGTCAGAATTTTGGGTTCCAAACTGTGAAAAAGAAAGTTCATCAACAATGTGCCTTTGTCCACTGTAAATCGAAACAGTTTTGGGAGCCTCTCCTTCAAACTTTCTTTTGGCACATAGCCTTTAATCCTGGAAAGCACAGACTCTAGGGCTCCAAACACTAGTCACCATGAAAGAAGCAAACTCGGCCGACAATATTTCTTTGTTTGCTCATTGCTGTAATTCAAAACAGTAAGTTCTCCTTCAATGTCGCTCTCCATATCATGCCAAATGTAATGCTATTCCCATCAACTAACACCAGATGAGCAAATTTAGAGAAATTCCCCCACGCCTTCATGACACACTTCATAAACCACCCCATCAGAGGTTGCACGTCCCTCATTCCACACCCACCACAAGCCCTCTCATCCTTCCGCTCCACCACTTTCCTCCAGAAGCTCTCCTTGTTAACCCTTTGGTTGAGCATAAGAATGACTTTCCTTTGGTGTAGTGGTAAGCACCTGAAGTTAATGCAGGTTTGGATTTGAGGGCAATTAGTTTTTGCAGACAGTGCATTCCTAATAGCAACTAGGATAGTCCATGCATGATAGCACTGCAGATTGTTGGGGCAGACACAGGGCAATGCCTTAGGCTACGATTCCACCTGTGCTGCAGCCGAGTGTGATACAACTTCTATGTAGTAGTATTAGTGCTACACGGCACCCTGTTTTGATATTCTTTTTTGTTGTTCTGTTGCTGCACTACATACTAGGGGAGCGTTTTGAAGAAAGCTGTAATATCTGATGAGCTGTTGTCAAATTCAGTTTTGGGGTTTTGAGCTTTAATATAGGGGTGTGTGTGCGTAATGATTTTTGGGGCTTATCATTTTAAAAGAAACAGTATCTCAACAAAGTCTTGTCTCAATATTTCGAATTCATATTTATAGGGGTTTAATAAGGTTTACAATCTCTGTCAGCTACTTAATGCCCTCTTGATAGACACTGAACAGGATGTAAGTGGAGTGTAAGTAACAGCATAACTGCTGTATATTTTTTAGAAGATTTTCAATTAATATAGGGACATTTCCCATAAATAATGAAATATTTTGGATTTGGAAGTTTTTATTATTCAATGTGCCTCCTTCAAAGTTTTCATCACTAGGACGTACTGTAAATTTTGGTGGTTCCATCTCCTCTAGAAATTAACATTTACTAAACGAATACGACAAGATGGACTATGTAAGTTGTATAACTGCTTATAAGAACAAATACTGTGGACGGTAAGTATCTTTTTGCTTTATCCTTCGTTTTTTTATCTATTGCTTCATATCCGATTTAACCGCCCCATTTTTTTTATCTGTGTTACATGGACTTCTCTATCTCCCTTCACGAACCCATGTTGTCACGATAAGACATGGTATGGGTATGTGTCGAGCCTAACCCAAATTGAACATGTGAATCCTTCACTCGTGGATGATTGAAGAAGTAAAAACTCAATTTTGATAGTAAAAGGGAATTTCTATTTATGAGATATACAGATGCTCCCTTTTTTACCGCGTCATTTAATTTAAATCATAATCAAGTATATTCATTCTTACAAAACGTAATATCAGACATTTCACACTATTTATATAACACATAATGTAATTAAATGCATAGTAGGTGCCTACCTAGCTATATCCAACTTTTGGACGCATTGCTTGTATCCTAGGATTTGGGATTTGGAAGGTCCTATACTTAGACACACATCCGCATTGGATACTCGTACTCAAGTGCAAACATGCCTTGTGTTAGATCTTCTATTTGGTTCACTTGCCTTGGGTAAATGCTGCCATGAAATACATTCGATGCCTCTGTGGTATGAAGGAGTTCCACCCAAGTTAGCTCTGACTTATGAAAAATTGGTTAATGGAGGCTTATTTTTTCCATAATTATTTGTCTAGTTGTCAGCAACACTATGCTCATCATACACCAGTTCTTTGTTATTTTGTTTACAGTTTAATGACTTGCTATATTATTTCTATATGGAAAGGTTTTTGCTGCTCAGATCATGCCCAAGCTTTTCATGAAAAATTAAGATCAGGTTACTGCAATATATTCCTTGTGGTCATGTTTGGTTTCTTCTGCTGCTTTTGCAGGAAGAGATTAAGATAATAAGTGTAACAGTATTTGTTAATCCATACTCTGAACCTGATGAAGAAGAAGAGAGAGAGAAAGCCAAAGATGACAAGAATGCTGAGGATGAAGAAAATGTCAGTTTCAAAACTATTCGATGTCAAGAATTTCAAGTTGTGTATATTTCTGTGTTGAATTAGTCACTTGACTTCTCTTCTGTTACATTTCAGGATAAGGTTGGGTCATGGTACAGCAATCCAGGTACAGGAACGATGGAATCTGGATCTGCAGGCGGTGGTGTTGGGAAGTACTTGAAAGCAAGGAATGCGAAGGCTGGATCTGCTGCTGCAGCTGACACTGATCTGCAGGCCATCGTCATATCAAAGAAAAGGAAAGTAGGTGGTTCAGTGGGAGGATTTAAAGATTTTTCTTCCTGGTGAGGTTTTCCAATGTCTATTACAATACATTCGGGCATAAAGATGCTATGAGGAGTGGTAGGCCAACAGCGCAACATACCTCATCCGAGGGAGATGTGATCTAACATAAGACAGGTGAAACGTATTCATCCAACTGGTTGGGCAAGTGATGTGAATCATGCTGTATTGGATTTTAAGGTGTGTACAAAGTCCTAGTGGTTTTTTCATAAGAAAATTATACCTGAAGATACCATTGTATTCAAAGGACATAAAATGAGGAGTTGAAATGTGGGATCAAAGGTAAATGAATTCTTCACTTCTTAGATAAAACAAAACAAGATAGTAGGATTATACGTTATGAAAGGAAGTTTGACATGATTGTCGGTGCTAAACTCAACTGTTGTACCACACTCCGTTGCCCTTGAATAGTCCTACCAAAGAGTCTTTTTAGATGCACGGTGTCTAATTTTCCAATGAAATTTTGTTTTAGATGTATCGTTTGTCTTGCTTTCCAAGGCACACATGTGAAGCACTATTTCTTGCAGTGTCCTCAATAATGGCAGCTAACCCTCTGCTGGAGCGCAAAAGCCCTTCTCTGCTGATAAGGTAAGGTGACTTCGTTCACTCATGGAAAACTGGATTAGAGGCAAGGTGAGTTGCTTCTTGATTATCGAGCATTCTCGTTGATGAGACACCTCAACTCCAAGCTTACTTGGTAAGGTTTTCAGTCAAATTAGGTCACAGGAAACTGGTATTTGGCCAAATATGATGAGAGTAAATGGGACGTTCGTTGGGGGACTATTATTTGGCTTAAGTTTTATTTCTGTGAGATATATGTTGCATTAATTATTGAGGCTGCAAGTTACAGTTTACTTAATAGACTGAGGAGAGGACATTTTACAGCGTTTGGAGTAGAGAAATTGCTGGCTTTATAAGGGGATATTTTCTACTTGCATAGAAGGCTTAGAAGCATGAATGCCAAAGGGATAAGGTTAGGACAAGACAATACTTTCTTCAATCTGGTCCTTCATAATATTATTATCATGACAAGAAATTCACACACTTAGGGCCCGGTTGGTTACCGTTTTTGCTTTGTGTTTTTACTTTGACTCGAAGTAGAAGCAATGTTTCTGCTTTAGAGTGTGTTTAACACTATTTTAAAGCTTGTTTGGTAATGTAAATTTGCTGTAAGATATTTGAAAGCAAAAACACAAAAATATATTTGGTAAAAAGAATTGCAAGTTTGAAAATTTGATGGCTAGTTAAAAATATTGTTTTTATGCTTTCGATTTTAGCCTTTTTTGAAAGCGTTTTGGTACTATTCAAACGATAGCAAACGTAACCTAACATGTTTTGTGTTTTTGCGTCGTTTTAGTAAATAAACAAAAACAAAAACTAAAAAACAAAAACATTAGTCCAACGGGCTTGCTGCTACTACTACTACTACTTTCTTTTTCTTTTTCTTTTTTCTTTCTTTATTTTTCCTAGATTCGGATATTCCATTGGACTAAAACTATTTATTTAATTTTGTACCTTTTGGATTAATTCAATTTTATTGTTCCATAAATTTTATGATAAAACAAAAAATGCAATTTTACTTCAAGACCGTTCACACACAAAATATATAAATGAGAAATAAGTAATAACTACGGTAATAAATTTGTTACTTAATTGTTAATATCTAAACTTGTTACTTAATTGTTAATATTTAAACGTGACAATGGGGATTCAGACCAAGTTAAACTTATATTATATTTGGGAGTACCTAATTGGTCCGCATGGATTCGTAATCGAAAAAAATTTAATTAAAATTTTCTTTGATTCTAAATCTATGATGTTGCTTCGGTATTACCAAACACAGTATTAATTTAATTGGAATCATTTAAGGCTATGTTTGCTTGGAATTGAAGTTAGAGTTTTGATATTGGAGAAAATTAATTCAGAAAATTGAATCAAAATTTTCTTTAATTCTAATATCACAATCTAAGATTATTTTACTAGCAATTCAATTAGAAAAATAACGAATTATTTCTAAATGAATTTATGTTTTATTTATTACCAATAAGATACCTACGATCCAATAACTCAATCAATTAGTAGTAATTTAGGAAGGAAAAAAAAAAAAAAACAATTAGTAGTGCAGTTTTTTTTTGTATGTTACAAGAGATTGACAAACAATGATTAAAAAGAGGAAAAAGTTGGAGAAAACAAATGAAAAATGTACCAAAAAAAGAGAAGAAAATTATGTCTTTAACTCTTGAACAAAGGGATGCCCCACCCTGTTGGAGTCCCCTCCCTTAGTTTCTCAAAAAAAAAAAAAAAAAAAAAAAAAAAAAAAAAAAAAAAAACTCTTTTAACTCAGGAAATATATATATATATATAAAGTAAGAAAGAAAAGACAAGGGAATAAAAAGAAAAAATAATGCTAAGATATATAAAGTAAGAAAGAAAAGACAAGGGAATAAAAAGAAAAAATAATGCTAAAACAATTTAAAGTATGTAAATAGCATATATTATAATTTTTTTTTTTTTTTTTTTTTTTTTTTTTAGAGTACATATATCTATCCCGCATGTGTGCCATTCAAATCAGGAGTGTGATTCAAAATAGCATATATTATAAATATTTAAACAATAGATAGTAGAAGAAGAAAATAAAAGAGTCTTAGGTGTTGTTTTATAGTAGTTACAAATAAGTATTTAAATTTGTTTAGATTAAATATTTATATCAAACACTACTTTAGAATGATTTAAATCCTTTCTCATTATTACATCTAATTTACATTATGTTTTATGACAAGGCCTAAGTCTAAAGAATTTTGAAATGTTTATATTAAGTAAGAAAGGAAATAATGAAAATGTATTAAGGGACTTTTTAAAAATTGTTAAACTAGTCCCATCCAATTGTGATTAATATATATCGAGTAATGTTAGGAGTTTAAAAAAGAAAAAGTCTTCTCTTACATGGTATACTGAAAAAAAAAAAAAAAAAAAAAAAAAAAAAAAAAAAAAAAGGAAGGACAAAAAAAAAAAAAAAACAGAAGGGAAACATGGTGCTTCCAACAAAAGAAAAAGTTTTTTCTTACGTGGTACTGAAAGGTAAAAAAAAGGAAAGACAAAAAAAAAAAAGAAAAAAAAGAGGGAAACATGGGGCTTGCTCTTCCCTTTCACTAATTGAAAACTAAAAACTCTCCCATTGTAACACCCCCAACATTTTCCACGCATAAGTTGATCAGGCTTATACACGAAAAACGAGAGATATCAAAAACAATTGGCAATATACAAGCATGGAATACAAAATGATAATAATAAAAAAATTTAGACAGGAAAGGAACCCTAAATAATACAACATCCATCCATCATTTATTTAATATAGTACTCCATTACAACTTGGAAATCCCTAAATAGACCTGAGAGTTCAACGTCAAAAGTAAATAAAAACTGAAACTGAAGTAATGCATAAAACTTCTACCCTGAACTGGATTGTAAGAGTAGATGAGTTCGGATGGTGGTCCCACACTGCTAACCTCAACCTTGGAACGGGTACTGACCGTATCCTGAAATAGCAACAATGGTGGGTCAACCCCACGAGCAAGTCCTCTCTACTATGACCCAAATCAGAGAATCAAATAAATTAATCATTTATATCAGGATGAGTATTATATCTGTATACATCCTAATGGAACTATCCAATGTATAACATGACCTCAACCAGAATAGACGGTGATCACTTAGACTCACACTAGGTGGTTAAGTGTCTCCTTTCCCTACCCGGGAAATCAGCTATTATACATGGTGCACGGTACTGACAACACAGACTGTAAAGACTACACAGTAATAACGCATCTCAATGTACTAATGAGTTACTAAGCATAACAATTAGGTAATACATGCCAATAATAATACTAAATATACTGAGTATGTTAATTAGGCAACACATGCCAATAATATGAATAAATATACTAAGTATATCAATTAGGCAACACATGCCAATAATATTAAACCACATACCCCGACAGCCACACATCTGTCTATAGCAACGAATGCATAAGGTATAAATGAGTCTAAACTTATTAGCCAGCTCACATGGTTCTATATGGCAACACATCCATATAATATAAATGCGACATAATAACAGTCCATTTATTCCCTGAAATGCACACAGCATAATAATCATGGTTTATATACGATTAACAGTATAAATATTCCATAATATATAATGGATCATTTATATGAATAAAACCAAGCACTAATTAATTTAACATTAATGGTTATTACAGTTTAATAAAATAATAATACCATTAATAGTCGTTAAATTAATTACATACGTTTACTAGCGATTCGCACTTTAACTGATACAATTAATATTTAGAAATATTAATCGGACAATTATAATAGTTAACGAGAAATAAAATAATAATATAATGTCCCGTTAATTCCAAAAATGCCAACCCGAGGCCCCAAAATGTATAGTGAAGGTCCTGGTAATGACAAAACAGTCCCTAGGGGTATTCTGAACTTTTCCAGCAGCTGCAGAGGCCCTTCACGCGCCCCCACGCGCCTCCCAGAGCTCCCCACACGCGCCGCCAAGCTTTCCCACGCGTGCACGCGCGGCCACGCGCACGCACGCGCTCCCACGCGAGCACTAAGCCCCCCTGATGACGTGGCTCGTCCTGGTTCGTTGGCTGCATCATCCTGCTATGGGCGCGCTACACTGAATCATCTCACCCTATCTTCACTCAATCCAACGCTCATAGATTCGGGTGTACCGCGGTAACATGGACCGCGGTGCACCGGATCAATCACCCTTTAATGGCTCAGATGCGCGCGCATACCCTCCTATGGTGCGCCGCATCACACCGGATCACTCCGGTCATCTCCCCCATTGCCGGCGACCGGAAAACTCGCCGGAGGGTCGCCGGAAATTGCAGAAAATGCCCGAAAAATTCCTAAAAATTCTAAAAAAATCCCTAATGCCTTAAGGAATTATTTTTAGCTATTTTGAACTTCATAGGATAATAACTAATTGTCTATCATCCTAAATAATTAAAAATTCATTAATTTAATAAACTAACTAAAAAAAATAATCATTTATTAAAATCTAAGCATGCTCTCAATGCTCCATCATAATCTAAATAATTTAAACAACTAATTTATGGATTCAAAGGGGAAAAATAGATAATAACTTGCCTTTTGGATTTAAAATAAATCCGCCGGTTGCGCGTAGTCGGGTAAATTTCTCCTACACCGGTCCAAGCTCCTTTCTTTCTCTCTTCCTTTCCACACTTTTACAATGGCTCACTGAAAGTTATAACTTTTTCTAACTCCCTTTCATTCCTTCTAAGGTAGGCTAACTAATTTATATACAATTTATATAATATAAATATTACAAATATCTAATTTTACATTTAACTAACTACATTCCCAACCATATGGCTTTAAGTCTACCCATAAACATTAATGAAATCCTATCCTAATCTCTAATTTCATCATGACATTAAGATTTAATACTATTATTATTATTATAACTATTATTATTATTATTAATAAACTATTATAATAATTATTATTATATTATTATTATTATTAATAAACTATTATAATTATTATTATTATTATTACATAAGAATACATTATATCATCATAATACTTTATAACACAAATATAATACTTTAATTAACTAATATTGCTTAATTAAACATAATCAACAAATAAAATTATTAATAATAATACATGCACAATTAAATGAACTCAATATAAGAATGGTAAAGAAATCTACACATTAATTAATTCAAATAAACTAAACTCTTTAATAAAATACGGGGTATTACACCCATCTTCTTTATTGCCAAAATCTTAAAACGCAATACATAATAAAATATAGATAATGTTGTATTTGTTTTATTAAAATAAGTAGTTAGAGAAATTTTGACTATTAAAATGATTTAATATATCATAAATAAATTTATATTTAAGTTTTAAAATAAAAAACCAAACCTGTGTTTTATAATTTACTCTTTTGTGTCTTAAAATAAATAGTTAGAGGAGTTTTGATTATTAAAATGATTTGATTTAAACAGGTTATATGGGTTAAATACTTGAACCAAGTTAACTTAAACATGGTATGATTAATTAAATAAGTTAAACGTGTCGACCTATTTATAACCCAAACCCGTTTATCGTATGTCATATTTGAGTCGTATTGATGAATCGCGTTAAACACTCCCATCGTTTAGAAAGGATAGGGCAAAATTATTTTATTTATCGGCCACATACTTTTACCATTTTTTTTTCTTACACGTGGAAATTCGGACTCCTTAATCTTTAACAATATTAAATAATTTTTTTATAAAAAAATTATTATTTTACCGAAAGAAATAATTGAAACCGATAGATGAACCATCCAAGTCCATACAATGGTTTTATGTCATCAGTTTCAGTTGAGTTCTTGGACTTATTTATATGATAGTATTGGTCTTTCTTTTGTTTTGTTTTTATCTTCTTAATTATTGGAACGCCAAAACCGTCTTTTGGTCTGCTTCAAGACACGTGTACACTCGCTGTCGGATCAACGCGCTTCACAGCGATAAAAGAATGTGCACTCCACCGCCCAATCCCAATCCACCGAAATCTCCATGAATATTGCTTTTCATTGGTCCACGTCCTCATCTCCCAAACTCCTCTCTTCTTTTCTATGGATTGTAATTTCCCTAGTCTTCTAAGGGTATATATATATATATATATATATTGTGTATCTCATTAGAGTATGAGTAACAATGACTAATTTTTTTTTTGGCCGATTCGAATAATCAGCGAAATGGATAGAGATAGGTACATGTGTCACGCCAAATCTCTCATTGAATATTATAACTGAGAGGTCACGTTCAGGGCAAATAGAAAGGAAGATTAGACCCTAACCAGAAATTTGCGAGACAAAGGAAAGGAGATGTATTACTTAATAACTTATGACTCCGTTTCAATGTAGATTATTATTTTTTAAAAATAAAATATTTTTTATTTTTATTTTTTAAAATATTTGGCAAAGGTATTACGTCAAAGTTGAGATCAAATTTATTGAGTTAGACATGTAAAATAATTTTTTCAAAATTAATAGATAAATTATTTCTGTTAAATTTTAATATTTTTTTTCTTAATAAATATTTTACGACAATCAAACATTAAAAAATATATATATTTTTTTATTACAATTATTACAATTGACACCATAAAAAAAGAAAAAGAAACCACAGTTCAACAATAAAATTTCATACAAATTTATTTATATTGTGTTTGAAAATATTAAATCTGTACTTTTGAATTAATTTTTTTTCAAATTTAAATTTAAACACCAATTGAATACTTCCAAACTCAACTCTATGACTCATTTTAATTAAAAATTTGTATTCTTTTTATTTTAATTTTTTTTTCATATATATATATATATACATTATAAAAAAAAACATACTAACACACACTTTTTACACACACCCAAACTACTCTGGTTCCGAACGTCCTGCTCATAAATTTATGATTTTACATTAATCAAACTTATACTATTTCTTTATGATCAAATTTGACATGACTGAATGGACATCACCATCTAAGCTGTTATCATTTATAATACGAATAATGTGATGATAATTTAGAATTAAAACGTGTAACCGAGGGTACCCTATGACAGACTTACCCTTTTTTTTTCTGTTAAAATAGTCCCTATTTTCGTAAGCATATATATATACACACACACACACTTATATTATGTGTATATATATAATCGATAAAAAAAAAAAAAGATTCGAGAAGGCAAAAGGTCATCAATCGAAGGCGCATAGGAGGATAGAGAGAGAGTCTCTCAGATTCTAACAGAGATCTCTCTCGTTCTCATCATCAATGGGTCTCTGGGAAGCTTTTCTCAATTGGCTTCGAAGGTTCTCTCTCTTAATTTCGATAAAAAAAAAAATCAATTTTTATATATACATATATGTATGCTTTTCTATGTGTTCGTATGTGTGTATAATTCAAACATTTGGATCTCTAGTTATTCACCTAAACACCTGGAGTTGATTGTTATTTAAGCTTTTCTTCAATATTAATCATAAGTTTCAATTCGGTGAAGGCATTCGAAGTTTAATCTGGCGCTGTGCCTTGATTTGCTAAAATTTGATTTTACTGGTTTTCTGTGGAGGAATTCATGGCCTTTAATTCCGTTGCAGGATTTGTTTTTTTCTTGTCTTTATTTATTTATTTTGTTTTTATTCTCTCGTTTCCAAATTTTGTCGTGTGCGAATTTTATGTCTTATAGGTTGAATTGTGTCCTTGTTTATGAATGTGTGCAATTTTATTTATTTATTTTAATTTTTTTTTTTTTTTGAATTTAAGCTATTGAGTTAAAGTGTTTAAAATGATCTGCTGAACATTATGATAGTTATGGTCACCATTGACATTGCCTTTGTGACTATATGTGTGTGTGTGTGTGTGTGTGTGTATATGCTGATATTAGCTCAGTTAGGTGACTTTTGTCATGTTAGGTTATAATAGGTGTTGGAAATTGGATATATGATCATACCTGTTGAAGCAGCACCTAAAGAGGGAATATGTGTATCACAGAAAAGTCACTGTGTAGACATGATGGATATGACAAATTAAGAGAGCCTGACAAAATAAAAAAGAAATAAGCAGGAGACAAAGTAAGCGCATGGCAAGCTTTGTTGTCTGGTTCCATTTGTTGGAGTTTGGCACAATTGATGAGTCTTGGATTTAGAAATGGCTAGATTTTATGATGCAACGAAATGACAATATATACACACACACACTATATATTTCCATAAATCTGAGGTTTTTATTTCTGTAAAAATTAAATCTTTAGTATGTATTTTACATAAAAAATTTATCTATAATTTATATGTCCACATGTAGGACCTTAGGTGAATGAAACATTGTTTCAAAGTTTGACATTATTAAGTATTGAAAGAATCGAAGGAATATCAAGCTTCATTCATCTTTTTATAATAATTCAGTTCGAGAATTAATATTTTCATGGCGCAACCAAAATCTTCTGTGGTTGAACTGATGACCTAATGAAATGGCCCTCCAAGTAAAATAAATGTTTGGCTAGGTTTATAGCTAAACCACAGATATACAAATTGTATTTGAACATTCCATTTAGAAAGTCTAGCTCCTAAAAATCAAGATGAGTTTATTCCTCTACTTTTCAAGCGAAAGGTGTATTGCAATTTTAATTTCTTCAACTTGGACCTTTTACCAAACATGGTCATTATCCTCAACAAAATATGTTTTTACATATAACTTATACATGTTATTGTACTCTGAATATTAATGATATCTAAAGATAGTTTATGGTGAAGCAATCGTGGAATCTGAATGTATTTTGTGGAACTCAATTTATCAAAAGTAGTCGCTCCTTTTTCTTGCCAAATTTAGACTACCAATATACAAGGTTTCTGATTGTGGATCTTGTAAGTAATGTTGGTATTACATGTGAGATGGCGAGGTCCCAGGTGTAGCAGATCAGGTGGAACCTGGAAAGTGAGGCTGACTTGTAAAAAGATATGTAGTACCAAGATTAACATGGACTCATGGTTATGTGCTTGCCCCTTGGGACTTAGTCTTGGTTTGGAGAGGTCAAGTCTTACTTTAGGTGATTTATTGCTCTTTAAGGCTCTATACTAAATGTGTCAAGAGATCATTCCAGGTCTTAGGATCCTTATGAAATATGCAGTAGAGTACCATTCATTACAAATTGTTGAGGACAAGGTGGTGTTTATTCAAGTTGGGCATTGGTAGCTGTACATCAAGCTGTAGAAGCCATCTAAATACTGCTGATTGAGCTAGTACAAGAGGTGCAGTAGGATGCAATATGCACTGAAATGACTTCTAGTAGGTGAGGTTTGTCCAAGGATAAACCTGATTGTGATGTAGAGATATGCTCAATTGAATCTCATTGGACATATGCATGTGAATAAGGCAGCATGTTTTGTTAAATGAGAGGAAGGATTGCACAGTAAGAAATGTGCAACCAAACTTCGCGAAGATATGTGTGCAGAGAAGGTTTCGTGGTTTGTTTTGGGAAAAGATGGGTTGTGTGGATGGAGAAACACACAATCAGACCTTGTGATCATCGTAGGTTTGTTCGCTGAAAAGACAGACTGTACAATTGGAAGAGTGCATGGTCGAGCTCCATGGATATGTGGCATTGCGGCTGGCGCAGCTGTTTAGCTGTAGAATGCATAGTGCAAGATGATCAAAATAGCCAACCGGGGGGCTAGTGAGATGATGGTTTTGGTTGTTGGGTGCAAGGTAGTGGAGACCAAGATCATGGGACTTGGTCTATATGGAAACTTTTGAAGCCTTCGCACATGGCATATTTAGAAAATATGTGTATTTGTAGCCGATCCACATGTCAACTAGTAATTGGAGATTATTCCTTTGGAGACTACCAAGTGTCGAGCTACAGGAGAGAGTGGGGTATCTGTGGAGATGCCATGTGACTGACTTGAGATGATGTATAGGTCTTCAGCTCGATATTATGTGGTGCGTCGAGGGATGCCAGTTTAGTAGAGCATGGAGTGTTGGTGTCCAGTACTCACACTAGTTCATATAAGTAATAAACTGCAGTTTTCATCCACCAGAACTCTCAATATATCTTTACTTTTCCACAATAAATTTGTAGCGGCCTCCAAATCAATTAAAAGAGAAACTTTCCAATTGGAAGTTTTCCTTTTTGGTTTTTTCATGGAATATTTAAATCTGTTGGCCTTTTGTTATTGAAAATTATTTGATATGAACAGTAATTGAAGTAAAAATAATTTGTCTCACAGATTTTTATTTATTTATTATTTTAAGATAAATTTCAAATATTGGATAACATTTTCTACTTTATGAACTCATCTACTGTACTCTTTTTGAAAAAGGTTCTTCAAGATACGAAGCCTCGCATTATTATTGTTATTATTATTTTTCCCGAAAGGTATAGCCTCACATTATTGTTTATATGATTACAGCCTCTTTTTCAAGCAGGAAATGGAGCTTTCTTTGATAGGGCTTCAGAATGCTGGGAAAACCTCACTTGTAAATGTTGTTGCTGTAAGTAAATAAGTGTAGATCGTTGTCTAAGAGTAGCCTCTTTTTTTCCCGTCTTTCTTTCTCTCTCTTTTTTGTATCTGGTCCTGATACACTGGAAATTTGTCTTGTTCATAGACTGGTGGATATAGTGAAGACATGATCCCTACGGTGAGTTTTCTTCTTAAAGGTTTTTATACTGGCTCTTACTTTTGCAGATAGAGAATTCCCCCGCCCCCATTTTCTTCATATTTTTTCCCACAATTTTCATCACCTTGTACCTTCCTGGGATTAATTAAAATTAATGTATGTGTGGTCATTTGGTGTTCAGGTAGGATTCAATATGAAGAAGGTAACTAAAGGAAATGTTACAATAAAGTTGTGGGATCTTGGAGGTCAACCCAGATTTCGTAGTATGTGGGAACGATACTGCCGTGCAGTTTCTGCTATTGTGTATGAAACTATTTCTCCATCTTATTTGACGTTTTGTTTAGTTTATCTATTGAATATTTCAGCAGTTCTGAAAGAAAATAAACACGAATACATGATAAACAACTTCAATTTTTTTAAAGATTTCATGTTTTATACTATCAAATACTCAAAGTGTTAACATTTGTATCTGTTGTAGCAAGTAAATTTGTATAATTGACATGTTGCAAATTGACAATTAATTTAGATTGTATAATCACATAAAATTGTATGGACAACTTAAAGTTGCATTTATTAACAAGTAACTGAAACAAATCTGCAAGATTGTAATTTTTTATATTCGCCATTTAATATGTCTCCATCATTTCCACAAGGACCCTTTCAGTTGTTGTTTGCAAGTATATCATAAAAAAATTTACATGTTAGATTGAGTTTAGAATGGACAAAATTTTCTTCTTTGGACAATTGTCTATTGCCTTGATTTATTTCTAGTAACATCTAACCATGAATTTTAGATTTGTAGGGGAACACTTTTAAAATTGCAAAGGTTTATTATGTCTAGCTATTGTAAGTATCTTTTTTTAAGAAAAAAAAAAAGAAAAAAAAAGAAACATTTAATAATATAGGCTAGTGGTATCTTATGTGATAAAAAACTACCAAATAAGTGAAAAGGAAAATTTTGTAGGATGTAGGCTAGTCATCTTATAGGAGGCGGAGTCGGGGGCGTTGAAAAGAAACAAGAACAACATTCTTATGTAACCGAAATGTGAATGTTGAAATGAATGATGTGAGGGGCTAGAAGAGAGAGCTTTAGTAATTAAAGTGTGGGAGAAATTAGGCATAACGTCTGTTAGTGAAAATAAGAGAAAACAAACTTAGATTGTATGGACACATACAAAGTAGAACCACAGATGCACCAGTGATGAATGGAAGATTATTTTTCATTGTAAGTAAGAAACAGAGAGACCAACTGAAAATTAACATGGAATGAAGTAATTAGAAATGACCTTAAAAAATTAAATGTAAGAGGATACATGGTGTGGAATAGAATAGAATGAAAAAAAGAGGGTGAGGATGATGATAAGAGTGACAAATAAAACACAGACTTATTATTGTTTTATGCAGGAGGAATTAAAGTGTGAGGGAGAAATGGAAGATTATTTTTCATTGAAAGTAAGAAACAGAGAGGCCAACTGAAAATTAACATGGAATGAAGTAATTAGAAATGACCTTAAAAAAGTTAAATGTAAGAGGATACATGGTGTGTAATAGAATAGAAGGAAAAAGAGGGTGAGGATGATGATAAGAATGACACAAATAAAATACAAACTGGGTATTGTTTTATACAGGAGGAATGGGGCACATGTAACGACTGTTTGGTAATCCTTGGAGAAAGTCTAACAAGTAAATATTGGATACTAATATTAGATTTGTTAATCAACAAGATTTAAGTATCAAAAAACAATATCAAAGCATAAAGTGGAAAGGACCATAAGGTAATGAATGGATAACATTTGGAAAAAAATAATACAAGGAAAATAATATAATTGGAATGACAATATAAATAATTTATGTTATAAAATGGCAAATTATTTCGGGAATGTGGAAAAGGAAACTTTGGGAGAGACTAATGGAAGAAAATTATCAAAAAAGAAAAAAAATGGTAGTAGAGTGATGACTACAAGCAATAAAAGAAAAGAAAAGAATGAGTTTCTAAGAATGACAACGAAGTTAAAAACAAAAGGATATAGAGAAATACAAAAAAAAAATTAAAATGAAGCTAAAAAGATGGTTGATAAAGCTAAAGAAAATGCATTAAATGATTTATATAAAAAATTAGGTACAAAAGAGGGTCAAAAAACATTGAACATCCATTTGCGGTGTGCCTATTCAATTAAAATAATGGGTCTACCTATCTATGGTTTGGGAACTCACATTGATACCAACGAGAAGTCTAGAACCGTGAATCGAGGCTCTGATACGTCTGAGTATATTCCCAATTAGACCTAGAGAGAGGAGAATATGTAATTTGCACATTTCGATAATTTTTGCTTTAATGTCAAAATTTTCAATCAATTTAAGCATGTAATAATAGGTAAATTGCAGAAATATAAAGCACAAAAAATTCACTTGCATGAACACCGGTTTTTATGTGAAAACCCCAAACTGGAAAAACCACAAGACCTACTCCAATCGGATAAAAATATTCACTATCAGAAAGAGATATTACACTAGCAAGTTCAGATATCCCTAATTACGTCTCAACACTGATTGGTCCACCAAGCTCTCCACTCAAGTGTCCGGGATTTAGTCATCTCTGTCAACAAAGCTTGTTATGCTTTCCTAGATACCATGATATTGTACTTCGAAAAAGTATATTTTAGTGTTCAAGATTTCCTGTCTTTGAGTAAGTGATAAGTATTGGTTATATAGCTGGAGTATCTGAGAAGTTAAGAAAAAGTGTTTGACATTAAAATTTGCTTTCAAATTAGGGATACGTTTAGAACTATTGGTCACAAATTTGCGAGTGTTCGAGAAGTATTAGTGTGATACTAACTCGATACAGGTATGACCCCCCTAATGGGGATCCAAGTCTCATAGTTTGAGATTATTCATGTACTTCTAGGCTGAATGCTAAAACTCATGAACTTGAGAAATGATCTCAAGTCTGGTTTTGTGATAAAACTACCCTCAAGCTCATGCAATCCTTATAAGTCACTAAATGTCAATTAATAGGGTGGGTTCTGTAAAACTTCCAACCATAGTGCAGCCCAGACCAGAGCTGTATATCAATGAATTTAAGGGAAACACATAATGAACATTTGAAGACCCACTTGGTGTCCATGCTTTGGTGACAGCTTTTCTTCAATTTTTCTGGATGGCCTCATGTTAAGGGGATAATTAGTTATCTATATTAAAGAGGGAGGTTACCGCAGGCTCTAAGTGGATAGTTTTGAGTGAGATTAAGAAGAGTGAGAGGGAGACCTGTTGGTAATTGAGAAAAATGGATGTGCTTGTGACTTGACAAAGGAGAGAGAGAAGATGGGACCATGAGAAAGCATGGCGTGCCTTGGAGTCTTGGCACATGTCAGGATGAATAAAAAATTGGGAAGAAGGTATTGAACTTCTGATCACAGAGCTAAAATAGTTGTTCCAATTACCATTCTTCTCCAATTAATTTTGAACATGAACTCTAATCTAGGGCACATGTAGGATACGGAGTTGAAAACAAAAATGTGTCTGAATATAATTTTTGAAAAAGAAAATGCACTAAAAGTGTCCGTTTCAAACACGTGTAGTGGACACGTGTAAGACACACCAAATAATGTGTCTGAATATATTTCCTTTTGGACATGCCATGGACACAAATGGACATGCTAACACACGCGGACACGTCTTGGACATACGTGTCTGATTAAAAGGGAATATTTTAAAATTTTCGAAAAAAAGATGGCTTAAAGCATAAAGTATGTGAGATTCTTTGATTAGTTCGTACAATGTGGAGGTTAGAACATAAATAAACAAAAAATTATAGAAAATTTATCAAGCAATTTTATTTACATGATGGCTTCTTTTTTTTTTCCTTCCCTTTTCCTTTTCTTTTTGTCCTTTCCTTCCCATCACAAACCCCTTTCTTTGTCTAAAGATCTTCTCTTTTATTATAAGCATTGCTTCTTTTTTTCTCAAGCAAACCTAAGTTCTTATTTCTTCATTGTTATCTTTTTTCAACTGATTTCATTCTCTCTAATAAAATTCTCTTTCCTTTTCTTCAACAAAGCCCTAATTCTAGAAACGGTTTAAATTTATTGTCTACCTACTCTTTTTATTTTGTTTCGTTTTCTTTCATTCTTTATACAATTGTAATCTTTTGTCTAGTTATGGATTCAGATTACAGTAAATTCATAAAGGAATTCTAGAAATTATACTTCAGCCATTCTCTAACCTTTTTTCTCTTCTTAAATGAATTGAATGTTGTTGTAGCTCACAAGTTATTATGACATAGCATAAAAATCTTAAATTGATGAACAGTAATATTAGTCTCATAAATATATATTTATTACTCTCCGTGTCCTCGACATGTCCATATTGCTGTGTCCGTGTTTGTGTCGTATCTATGTCATGTATCTATATCCGAGCTTCTTATACTCTAATAGACTGTTTTTATGACAATTTACAAATTGGTGCAACACAGATTCTTAGTTGAATGAAGTTGTATGGATAATTCTTCTTGTGTGACATTCAATCTTGAGCTGTTTATTAGGAATCTATGTTCCCTATAAAAATATCTGTATGGGAATGTTCTAGTGAGGGCACAAGTAGTCGAGTTAATCCTGGTTCAATGATTTGTTTTTTTTTGTTTTTGTTTTTTTCCTGAATGTGGTTACCTAGTTCTTTGAATTTGATCTCTCTTGCAGTTATGTTGTCGATGCTGCTGATCATGAGAACCTCAGCATCTCTAAAAGTGAACTCCATGATCTCCTGAGCAAGCCATCATTGAACGGTATTCCTCTGCTGGTATTAGGCAACAAGATTGACAAGCCAGGGGCGCTCAATATGCAGGCTTTGACCGATCAGATGTAAGTGGGAGGAGACGGGTTCAGTCTTTCGATTGGCATCATTTTTAAATATTGGTTGTCAATTAAATTCAATTTGGAATGCGATTGACATTATCTCATGCAGGGGTCTCAAATCCATCACTGACCGGGAGGTATGCTGCTTCATGATCTCATGCAAGAACTCGACCAACATTGACTCTGTCATTGATTGGCTTGTTAAGCATTCGAAATCGAAGAGCTGAGGAACGTCTCTTTGTTTGTATGTTCGATTTGTATTTATCAGAGAGTTATATGGAGCTTGTGGCTGTTGTTGGTCGGATTCGGTTGTCTTAACTTGGTTGCTGGTTGTCATTCTGCTGTCTTCATTTCTTCTGAGTTGCTGTGTATTGTACATTAAATTGTTTCTAATTAAGAAAAATGCTTCCGAGTTTTCATGGTGCTAATCTCCGGCTCCGGTGTGTCTGAAGAGTTCCTATTCTGCACAATTTCCATCTTTGCAGTTTTCTTCCCCAAACTTGCACTACTTAAGAGGGGTTGCTACTGTGTCTGAATTAACAATGTCAAGAAAGCTAAAAGAAGCACCATGTTCATCATTTTTTTTTTTCAATTAAGAATTTTATCATCGGCAAAGTTTTAACTGTTTGCTTGCATGTCAATCAGTGATTGGTCAAAATCAATGGTCTCGAAAACTATTTATAAACTCATCGATGTGGTGTTCACAAAAAGTTTATGTTGTTTTTGCAGGATTTAATCCAGAAACTCTTTTTAAGTTAGATATTACATGTTCTTGAAGGTTTATACTGGATTGGTTTAATATCTCATGTAGGTGTAACACAAGATTTCTGAATGGACATGAAAATTTATTTTCTCTGCTTAGCGATGATAAAAAGTAATCCAAATTATTATACCCGAACCAATCACTAATTGACATATAACCACTTATCGAGTTTTAATAAAGTCAAAATTGCACTGTTCATAATTTTTTTTATAAAGTAAGAAGCACTAGCATCAATTGGTCACGCCCTTGAAAACCCTTACTGACATTTTGAATGAAGAGTATTTTATTTCAATTCTATGGTTTTTTGAAACTGTAAGTGGAAAATGCAAATTAAGATACTATAAAATGACGAAACTACCCTTTTGAGCCCTAAAATGTCAAAACCCTTAAATCGCGATTCACAACACTCCTCGAGTGTCAGTTCATCATCCTCTTCCCAAATGCTGATCACCATATGAACTCACACTCCTCTCTGTAAAACCCTTCAAAACCTAGAATCTTATCCACACAAATGCCCTCCGTAGCCTCCAAGATGCCCTCCAAATCCCTACTGAGACTCGTCTTCCTCAACCGCACACCGCTCTCTCGCAGTCTCTGCACACCCACTGCAACCCCCGAGTCACAAACTCAGAAACTCGAGAGAATCGCTGACGAGCTTCTCAGCCTCACCAAGATCGAGAGATTCGACTATTCGATCCTCTTCAGGCACAAAATGGGTATCAACAAGTACGGACCGGCCGTGTCGGGGCTTGAGTCGTCGGCGGCTTCGTCGGCTGGACCTGGGGCTGGCTCGGCAGACACCAAGGCCGCCGAGAAGACTGCGTTCGATATAAAGCTGGAGAAGTTTGACGCGGCGGCGAAGATCAAGGTGATTAAGGAAGTTAGGACTTTTACTGAATTGGGTTTGAAGGAGGCCAAGGATTTGGTGGAGAAGGCTCCGGTGGTGGTGAAGAAAGGGGTTACGAAGGAGGAGGGGAATTCGATCATGGAGAAGCTCAAGTCATTGGGAGCTACTGTGGTATTGGAATGAATTTTATTTTTAAATTTTGCTCATTTTTGTTTTTTCACTGTAGAATAATATTAATCTTCAAATTAGAATGGGGAATGAAAATTATTTTTGGACATTTTTGCGTTTTGATAGTTAGAAAATTTGAGGACTTGGGTTATTGGATTAGTTTATATCTATTTATGTAGGTATATTAGATAGATATTTGAATATGTATGTCGCATTTTTCCATGATCTGAAGACTGCTGTTCTCAATTCACTTTTTTTTTGTTTTGTTTTGTTTGAACAATCTCTTTTTATATTAAACTGATATGAACAGATACTACACTTGTAAACAATCTATCTTTTTATGATTTGTGGTCTGGACTCATTACAAATCTAGTCTCTTTTGGTACGCTGGTAGTTCCAAGTCCAGGCGTAATCCCCTAGTGCTTAATGTTTTGCCTAAGGTTCCTTTCTTACGACTCTCCTAACTAGCTACTGTTCTCAATTCACTTTTTTTTTTTGTTTGTTTTGTTTGAACAATCTCTCTTTATATTAAAGTGATATGAACAGATACTACACTTGTAAACAATCTATCTTTTTATGATTTGTGGTCTGGACTCATTACAAATCTAGTCTCTTTTGGTACGCTGGTAGTTCCAAGTCCAGGCCTAATCCCCTAGTGCTTAATGTTTTGCCTAAGGTTCCTTTCCTACGACTCTCCTAACTAGCTTGCTACCGGGGTGTAATCGAAGTTGCAGGATAGCAAAAGTGACTGCCTGTTTTCTTATATCTATGGGGAGCATACCCGTTCTCTTAGAAAAGATTTATGGAATGATATTACTTAGATGGCTGCTATAAATACTAATATACCTTGGCTGACGGTTGGAAATTTCAATGCCATACTTACATCCTAGGAAAGAATGGGGGGTTCCTTAGGTTGTCAAGAACAAGGGATTGATATTCTCTTTTGACTTTGGCTTGACTATTGGAATATCTTATGTCGGGGAAAGATAAAGGATTCTGGTTTGACTCATCAACTGTTTTTTCGCGTCGAAATGATAGAAATGATATATGTATAACTCTAGTTCATACAGAGATAGCCATTTGACCCAATTATACCAGGTGATGGAAGCTGTGTGTATTTAATATTCTCTAGAAATTGTGGTGGCTAGAGCATACTTTATATTGTGCTTCAAGTGTATCCTGTAGATATCCGCGAGTGTATAATGGCATTCTTGACAATGGTTCTTTTTCATATTGGTCACATCTTTAATGATTCCCCCCTCCCTCCTTTTTCTGTTCTCTCTACTAGTCTCAAAAACTTGATCTAGAGCTTCGGAGTTGGGACCAAAGCCACTAGGACAAAGGTAGACTTACAAAATTAACACATCTTTAATGATTTACCTCATATATGCTCCTTTTTTTCACCAAACAATATAAGTCAGACCAATCCACTACTCGATACTGTATAGGTTTTAAAAATTACTATGACCATGATTTTTAGTGTCCTGGTTCACTTTGCTCTTTATTGAATTTAATAAAAATATGAGTGAATGACGTATCAATATATATATACACACACACATAAAAACACGTTTTTGTTGAATGAAATATTGTTTTACATCATTAAATGCCAAATAAACTTCATAGAAAAATTCCATTCTCTGAAACTGCTTTACCATGAGTTAGCGATAGGCCCTGGTTCTCTGGGTTGGAATTCATTGGTCCTCTGTTTTTTGAATTTTGTAATAGTAGTCAAGTTTAGCTCTGAAGGGCCCTATATATGGTATGAAAATCATAGGTCTTGACCAAGATGATAGCTAGGGGGAATTATTGGAATCTGTACTGCTTCTTGCTTAGAGAACAGATGCTGAGTTTTGAGGTTGTATTCAATATAGTCCCATTACTCCTCACTCTTCCACTACACAGCCAAAGCCATTCAATTTCCTTTGAGGGATAAACTCTTAGTTTTTCGAGGCTTTTCCTTCTGTCAAAACATAGTTTGAGCTGCCTCTATGTATGTGACCTAATTTCTGAGACTTGATTATGGTAAATAAGAGCTAAGGATTACATGTTATTCCTATTTGGTTGAATCGGTACAAAATGTTGAAAATTTCCAATGACCTCCAAGGGATCATAAAATTCATAAACGTGTCTTTGTTATCCAGGTTATACCCTAAATTTGTTTTACTAAACTACTAAAGCCTATTAAGTTTTCTTGAGATAGGAATTGAGATTTCTATTGTGAAACTCAATCTTGATTTATAATGACCGTTTTCCCAATTTCTGTATTTTGGCAATTGATTTTTATTGATGTGTCTCTCCTGAATTGTGGTTGTAATTGTATTTTCAGTCTTTAGGTTGTTTCAAAATCTTTCACTGCTATATCTTATTTTCATTCAATACCACTGATTTTTATATACTTGATTCTGCTTTGAGGAGAACAGAGAGACTTCTGAACTCTCTTCATCTCCTGCCAAATTTTTATGTTGTGAAAAAAATAAAAATGGGTTTTATCTCCCTATTTGTTGGCTAAGCCACAAATGCAACTTCTATTGTATTACAGTGTTCTCTTCCCATATCTTAAGTTACATATCCTGGATGTCTATGCAATTCAGATTATGTTTAGGATTTATCATCTGGTATGTAAAATATTATTCTCTTACTGAAGCTAAGAATTTGTAATATTAGGAAAAACTATTCATGCTCTATTATGTGCTTTATTATGTTACAAGAAGAGAAGTATATTTTTGTTTCCTCCCAAAACCTTTGCATAGGAGATGAATTTTTGATACTCATAGATAGAAACATCTAGATTAACCATTTATAAACCCTACACGGTCTCCTTACTCATATTTTTATTTTATTTTGTTTTATGATACTTTAATTACTTATAAAAAATATTTAGCTACCCATTTTCAAGGGGATTTTGGTTTCTGTGAATAAAACCCTAATAAAGCCTATCATAGGCTTAGCTCGTTTCTATATTAAAGTAGTATTAACACTATCCATTTATCTTCTTGGGATAATGGATAAATATACCACAAGGATGTATTCAGATTGTGTCACGTAGGGATGAAGCAATGGAATAGCTCATGCCAGAGTTGGTACATTCGAGTAGTCCGGTAATACCTTCCTTTCCTCGCTCTCCTGTGTGTATGCATGGTAATTGGTAAAGGACTTCGAAAACCCTACTAAAGGAATCTGTTGTATTGGTTTTCAGGATAGCGGGTGACCATCAGATTTAGGAATCTGTTGTATCGAAAACCCTACTAAAGGAGTCCAAGAATTTTTTTTGACGTGTAGAGTGTAGAGGTGAGGGTATTTGATAATTTGATGAGAATCCTGTCTATCTAAGACCAATCCGAATTTGGATCCTGGACATCCACACCAGCTTGACTTAAAATTAAGGCAACAGATATGTGACTTGTTTTGTTTGAGTTGTGGGGACGTTTGAATGATTATGAGATGCAAATTTTATGTGACGAGTGCTAAATTGACAGATTAGGAGTTGGATTTACTTGTATATGTTGTGCATCTATAATGATAACCATATTTAAACCAGGTTTGCTTTATTCTAACTGTAAGAGTTTGAACTGGTACCATTTTCAAAGTTTGGATAGCTTGGTTTGTTCGTAGCTGAATTTTGGGCAATCAATTTGTGACCAAGCCCTGAAGAGAAAAAGAATACTGTGACTGTTATCTGGTATGAAATTCGCAGAAGTTTTTAGTCTAGATCTTGTTATGCCTTGCAAGGTATCAACCTGATAGTTTTACTGCTATAATTTTTCTTGTTGCAAAGATTTGTTTGTATACTTGTTGAAGGTAAATTTTGCTACCTATATGCATAAATTTTGTCGTCTGATATTTGGCTGGCTTTAGAGGAAACCAACCAAGTAAACCCTGAAGTTGGCTTCTCTGTGGCAAAGTTTGTTTAGTTTTTGACTTAAAATGATTTGCAGTCTGAAACATCCTACCAGAGCCAATTGATGCAAAATTTTTGATAAGCTATTGTATGCATTGGATATAGGGCTGCAAGTTGGGCTGACCCAACCCAACCCAACCCAACCCAATCTCAACCCGAATTGGGTTGGGTTGAGCGAACCCGAATTGTACCTTACATGAGTTATAGTCAAAACCCAGCCCGAATATTTTCGGGCCGATCGGGTCGGGTTGACGGGTTGAGTTTTTAAAATTTATTTATATATATTTTTTTCGAAAATATATATATAATATAGATATATATATATATATATATATAGATATATATACAGATATATCTATATATTATTAAAAAACAAAAAAAAATTAGGGCAAATCATTTCAGCCTCCCCAATCGTCCAGTCTCATTCTCAACTCTCTCTCTCTCTCTCTCTCTCTCTGCAACTTCAAACTACAAATCTACAAGAATCAAAAGTTCAAAACCCATATATTTCAGATTGTTCAAAAAATCAAAACCCATATGTTTCAGTTTCCATCGCCGGCTGTTCCAGTTCGGGTTCGCCGTTCGCAAGCTTCAGCCGCTGTCTCTCAACTCTCAAGTTTGCCCCCCTCTCTTTCTGCAACTGCTAACTTGTATATATGAGTTTTGTTTTAATTTTTGGAAGTGATGGCGGCGGCGGCGGCAGATTGGCCGAGGGACGGCAGCAGAGAGAGAAAGAGAAAGAAGAGAAAAGAGAAAAGAGAAAAAAAAAAAAAAAAAAAATTCGGGTAGAGAGAAAAAGAGAAAGAAGAAAGAGAAAGAGAAAGAAGAGAGAGGGGAGAGAAAAAAAATTTCGTGGAGGAGAGAGAAAAGAGAAAGAAGAGAGAGAGAGAAAAAAAAAAAAAAAAAAAAAAAGAAAAAAAGAAAAATTAATTTTGGGTTTTGGGTTGGGTTCGGGTTGAGCCCGAGCCCAGCCCGAATTATCTGGATTTTGATTATACCCAACCTGAACATGAACCCGATTTGTGAATTGTGTGTCCAAATTTCAAAATTTCTGGGTTGGGGTTGAGCTGGGCTGGCCTAGCCCGCCCAACTTGCAGCCCTAATTGGATATAAGATGCTTATTAATATCCGATCCAACATTTCACTTACAATATGATAAAAGAAACAAGTGTGATAAAAATTGAGAAAATACCAAAGGCATTAAGTGG